TGATATTGGTATGTGCAAGAAGTTTTTGTACTCTTGCATTTAAGGAATACCCGTCAGGTTGGGGATTTGAATCGTTGGTAAAAATTGGTGATAATTCAGATTTAACATTTGGTACAATTTGCTGTCAAAATTGTGTACGATATTTGTTGTGAAGTGATAAATGTTAAAATTATCAATTGTTCACATTCATGCTTGCATTAGTGCGAATTAATGTTGTAAGATAAACGCTTCATGAGATAATTTAGAGGTTGCTCGGTAGCTGTTTCCAAAAGAAGTAAGTACTATATCACGTGATTACAGAAGCAAATATAAAGCTCGATGTTTAAAAACTGCTGAGCATGAGGTGTCACACAAATGCTTGACTTACTATCGATTTTCTATGAAATGTACATAATTTCTACTTGTGTTATAATACTTTCCCCAAAGAATACTCCGTATTTTAGGATGTCCACTCATTGCCGGATAAGCCGTCACTCTCTAACGAAGCATCGGATTGAGGCTAATTAGCATCCCCGGGGAAGCCCTATCTTTCAGGGACCACTCTCGCCGGTAAAGCCGGCAATCCCTGCCTGGTGCCTGGCATCGGATTCGCTAATCCTACCTATAGCCCTAACACTGTTCCGCATTCACCCAGGCCCTAAGACTTGTGGGGCAGGGAAAAAATCTTGGAATTGCTCTAAAGGAAAATTCCACAGAATAACCCGCCGCAAAATAGCCGGGGTTGCATAGGAACTTTTTCCAGTGATAACAGTTTTTGAAAAAATCTGCACTCACCGGGAATGGAACCTACAACCCCTAGAACGGCGTTGTATCAGTAACAAGCACGCTTACCACTGTGCCAACGCTGCTCCTACTCGTAGCTATATATTACTTTTTCTTTTTTTTTCTTTTTCAAATAATGATATTAGGGTGCATAATAATCAAAAGTAATTTCGAAAAACAGAACCAACTCATAATATTTTGTAACTATTTACATAAATTTTTTTCAATCTTAAGTGCTTTTTTTGCAGCAGTAGATAAAAAGAAAACTTCCGTGCATTTCACTATCATGACAAATCTACTTGAATGGTTTTTTTTGTTCATTGCAATTTAACAGTGTATCAGCACAGTCTATTATATAATTTAGTAATAGAATAATTCTACCAATTGAGTACAATAACGAAGTATGTTGTTTAAATGTGCTGACTAACACGTGCTACTGTCGTTATTAGGAAACATGCACAATTTCGATCACTGAAAAATTGTAATGGTTAAGTACGTATCGTAAATCAATGCAATTACTTGTCTCCATTGTAATAAAATATTTAAAGTTCAAGCAAGTTATTTAGTGACTTTGACTTCACAGCGTCATTTTACAAATAAGGAAATGCCATATCTTTCAGATCATCACGGAAAAATGAAAAAATCCAGAATATTTTTGGTAATTTGTGCAAACCGGGCATGATCAACTTTTTCGAAATAGTTGACGCTATTCAGGAGTATACGTTTGCTCTGTATGGCTTAAAGAATGGTAATCAAGTAAATAACGCACATGTACTTGTATTTAAAAAAATCCTAGACAAAGGTCTTAGAAAAATCTAAAAACATTTAATGCTGCAGTAGTTTCACCATGTTGGAAATTACTGAAATAAAAAGTTATAAGAACGGTGTATGTCAATAGTATGTGGTTTAATGCAACTGATAAAAAGCGTATAGAGGATAAATGTAGATTGCAGATGAAACTATCGTAGTTACATATAAATGATTTTATCTTAAATTGATTATAACAATTATTGAATGTATGCAAGCTTGTTGACATTTAAAAAGTGTAGTCCATCGTATAAAATCAATGGGTTTCAAGTAACTTTTAATAAATACAGCACCTGTAAATTACGTTCAAAACTTGTAGGCATAGGCATAGTTGTTGTTGCAAAGTAATTCAACAAAATATCTATTGATCACTTGAATTTTATTTTATTTAAATGATGGTACTACATACAGTTTCAGCGCCTGTGATTATATTACTGTCATCAGGTTTCTTTAGTCTCAACCGTGAAACATAACCTATTATTATATGATGTGAGCGTGATAAACTCGTTGTTAAGATAATTTTTGTTGCCTAATTTTTTTCTACACATGCATAGTATAAGCATCTACCAGAAAAATGAAAGAAAAAAAATTCTTGACTACTTAATTTTGCTTAATTGAAATTTTTTTATCCATAGGCTCGTATTATTGCAGAAAAACAAAAAAAAACTTATTCAGATTGTAGTATTATCATGAAAAACTATTGGTGCTTGTATCATAATAGAACTTTTTTAAGTAATCCCAAAACATTCCCACTTTTACATTCATAATCCAAAAATGAAGAAAAAAAATTCACGCTCCTACTGAAAACGCAGACAAGCAAACAGTTACAATTTTGAGTTCAGCTGAATCACAATTCAATTTTCCAGATAAAACTTTGTAAAATATAACAAAACAACTCAAGACCATCTTCAAATTCGATTTCTGGATATTTACATTGTCTAATAACAATATCTTTTACTCGAGTAGCAGAAGACAGAAAAAGCTTTCATCTGTTATATCTGGTCTTTAGTGGCAACAAGCGGTTGAAAGAAAACAGACCCAGAAAAGTATCAAGCAGGAGATTGTTATGTTGAAAAAAAAATTGCGAGTGAATGTACGGCTCCTCGGTAGCTCGAGTGGAAGAGCAACTGTCTGGTAAACAGGAGGTTGTGTGTTCTATCTGCACCCGAGGAGGATGTTTTTCTCATTCTTATTTATTTCTTAAGAAAGTTTTCTTAAAAAAGAAACTATGTGGTTTAGTATTATGAGTCTTAAAGTATATTGGATATTGAAAAAAGGGCATGTATGGAGAACATAGAGTGCTTGTATTGAAAGTGCCGCCATCTATATATATGCACCTCTTGATACAATAATTTAGATGTATCAACATTCAAGTCTGAATAACGTATTAACGACTCAAAAGTCAATAGCTTATTCAAAAACGATAATTATAATTTCAGATTTTACGAATAAAATGTTATTGATTTTTTCTTACGTTACACTCTCCAATTCCTAAACATCCAGTTTTACACAAACCGAGATGACAGTGATTAAAGTAGTGGCAGTAATTGGGTGTCAGTAATGGAAGCTATGACAGTAATTGGGTGTCAGTAATGGAAGCTATAACAGTAATTTGGTGTCAGTAATACAAACACAGTTGCAGTAAGATATTGACATTTGAGTTATACCATTGTTTGGCTAATTGAACAAAAGTTTTATTGTTATTATACTTTACATTTTTTATCATTTAAATTGTTATTATTATTATTATTATATGGTAACTAAGTACAAAAGCTTTTAATAAAACGAAAAATAAAGTATGTATTAATACATTCGTATGTTGTAAGCTTTTACGTATGTCCTCAACGAAAAAGTCTCAGTAATACCTACATTTACCCTATAAGCAGATGTGGAGCAGTGTGGTTGGGTAGTCAAATGCGATAAAATTTGCCCGTTGTATTTTAACGGGGACACAGTACCGTATAATGTATGTAGAATTATTCATGACAACAAATCAGAAGTATACATTGAGGTATGCATTAATGATACATCAGTAGTTATGTAAATTAAGTGTGTACTCAAAAAAATTATGTGATTTCGAAATTGTAGTAACATAGGTTTTCGCTTAATTGAATATTGTACTTATAGGTTTTCGCTATGAATCAGTAATAGTTGCATACTACTGTATGAGATACGTATTATAAATAGAAAAATGTAATGCTGTTAATCATTTCATATTTGCAATTATTTGATAATACTATCACTTGTGTTACTGCAGCTGAATACGAACAAGTTCCATGTATTTTCTTCAGTTCTTTTTTTTTCCTAATTTACAGTACATGTATACGATAAGGTGTTAAACACATGCATAAATAATATATTATATGTGAAATTGTAGTGAGTTTACCCTTTCAAATTGATAAAGTTGTAATAACTTACATTTAAAAGCTCAAATAAAAGAGACAGCGGAATTATTTCACTATATATTATGTATATTTAGATTAAAATTTAATCATTTGTATGATAAATGTGCTAGCCAAAATATTTTATTTAAATAATTTCTTTTACTTCTTCTTATCAAAGTCGTGATTTTGATAATCATGATTATGGAAGCGCTATTTTTGATAAGTAAGTGCAAGATTTTTTACGACTATATTGCTTTGAAAAAAAAAAATTCATTCGTTGAATTAAGTACATTAAGTAAAAAAATGTCAGTACTCGTTTTAAAAGCATAATTTGGTAAGTAGTAATTTTATGGAATATTATAAACAATCATGGAAAAATCATCCACAGCACATATACTAAATGTTCCAACGCTATTTTAACACATAATTGTCTTCTGTATAAGAAATACTCTTATAGCCATACTATCCAGTTCGAGTGTGGTTAAGTCAAATTTAGAGACAAAACACTTATTTACCTACAGTTACAATATTTTAGACCCATTTTTTGCCTTAACGAACACCTCAAACCCCCTATTTTGGTATAAGTTTGGTCTGTTCCTTATCACGAATCAATCCAGTCATTAAAAGAAAATCAGGGTACAAAAATTATGTTTGCCTGTAGTTAAAATACAATTTACCCCGGAAAATATGTTTTTTTTAAGTAACAGTTTGAGCCCTACAACCTGGCGTATTAAACATTTTGCCTTCACCTACCCGCAGACATATAGAATCCAGGCAAACATTATGCTTATTGTTTACTAACGTAAATGTCGTCATCTTCAGTGGGTTTGATTCATGTAACAGATAACCTGCAAATTTTTTCGGGCAGCACAATGTTTTAGCCTATATTCATTGTTGAGTTAATTTTTCTTATCATAGAACTAAAACTATTGAAATTATAGTCAGTGATTTAAACAACAATTAAAACTGTCATAAAATATGTTATACTGATGTATTATTATTATTTCTTGGTTATGAAATTGGGATTGGATTCGACGCTCAATACAGGTGTTGCATAATGCAGTGGTCAAAGTGGTTATTCCAACAGAAAGGTACGTTTAAATATAGGTCATTTATTTATTTCTATGTTTGTATGTAGTTCACAGCCCAGTAAATCTTTATTTATACTTGTTGTAGAAATTTAGTCATGTTGATTCATAGAATGGTAGAGTTTGTTGTTCGAGAGGGACCGATGTTTGAAGCCATGATTATGAATCGTGAAATAAATAATCCGATGTTCAGGTAAGTATTTAAATGTATGCTTCTGAAATACATTTCACAATTTTCCTACGTTCAGCACGTAAGAATTTTATTATTTGAGTACACAACAAACATTTTAGGTTTTTATTTGAAAACTACTCTCCAGCTCACACTTACTACCGGTGGAAGCTATTTTCTATTTTACAAGGTGATGCTCAAAAAGAATGGCGTATGGAAGAATTTAGAATGTTTCAAGGTGGAAGTATTTGGCGTCCACCGCCTATGAATCCTTGGACTCAAGGAATGCCTGATGAACTAATTGAAGTTGATGAAAGACAAGAGCCACGAAGGGGAAGTCTTTCGAACAGGTATGTATTGCTTACATTTTTTTTTTATTATTTAGTAAAACTCCTTATATTAGGCTTAGGCAAAATTGAGTTAGGGTGGCTCAAAATCAAAATACTTGAAGTATGAATGAAAGTTGGAGGAACCGCGTTTGAATATTAGAGGAATCATCTTACAAAATCTTTAACTTTGTTGCCCAGCAATTTTTCAAAATGAATCGTTTTAAAATTTTTGTTTAATATAGTCTCTTATGAAATGCTATTCAATTTTGATAAAATCTGAAACTATGTCTTTTAAATTATACTTTTACTCTTATTATATAACTAGGTATTAAATAAAGAAATTATGAGCTTTTCAATGATGTCACGAAAACTTACGTCCGCCAGGCAACATTCAGTTATATTTTATCTCATGATTTTTTATAAAATATACTAGTATTTGTACATTGGCAACTTCATCACTCGATGTTTTTAGGTGTGATAGTCTAACGTGTGATAAGCCACCTTGAAACATAAATTGCAGGATCATGCACCTAAAAATTTTGTTCACGATGATATTGTTTGTAAAAAGCCTAAACGAGAGAAATAAAGCTCAACGGAATAAATATCATCTGTTTATGTCCATGAATGTCTAGAGTAGAATTAGTTTAAAAAAAAGATTAGCCACGCCTTTGTTCTCTGTGTCTACTGTAGCTTATTAATATAGGCCCCATTAACTTACTAGTAGTTACAAAATGGTACAAGTACCCATAGCCAGCATCATACCCATATAAACAGTATAGCAGAAAACAATAGGTGCCGTTAATGCCAGAGTATAGTACTAAATTTTCCAGCATGAAAGCATTGAGTTTTATAGGAGTGGTACTATTTTAATTAGTTACAATTCTATTTTCATGTGGTAATTTATCGAACTAGAACTTCTTACAAGACGTTTGTATACTTTATGGTATGAATATTATTTTGGAGTGATGACTATGTTCTCTTTCTTACAAAGTCAAAATTTATTCTATATTACCCGGTCGAAAATGTCATCAAGGCTGCCTATCTATAGGATGGGGACCGAATCACAGCAGTGCATGTTTTTTATGTAGTCTTACCTCTTTGTAAACATATAAAACTTATTAACGATTTTAATAAAATGACAGAGAAAGTAAAGCAGAGATGAGTGCACTGGAAATAATTTTTTGTTAATCAAAAGATTGGACTGGTGGATGGATAGCTAGATCTAATCATATAAATGATAAGTCTCAATACATTAAATTTTTTACTTGCTGTCACCTATTTCCTCATTAAATTAATTAATTATTTAATTTGATTAATGAATAGCTGTTTTTCCTTATTTCCAGAAAGTTTTGAAAATTCTGTATAACAATATTCTGTACACAGTATAGTAGGTACACTGAAAGCAGTTTAATTCGTTGAGTGGGAAGTATAAAATTTACTAATGAAAGAGATTATGGGATGGAATTAGCCAATGGGAATCAAATATTTGAATTTCCCGCTCAACGAATTAAATGCCCTCCACTGTACGTACATTTACTACATGCATATTATATAGACAAACTAAGATGCCTAAGTGGGACCAAGCTCTTTCCCCGTAACATCACACCATCTAACGCAATGCATTTGCCACACTTGAACCAATGTAGGATTGCTAAGGTGCCAACGTAGGACCTAGCTACAACCTAGTTTCAAGTTCCAATTAGGTAGCCAAGCAAAGATCAGATGTGCCATGTATATAGATATAGTGAGTACGTGCTGTATACCTGATGAGCTCTGTTCCTTTTGTTTTCTCGTACTGTTGCCCATGAAAATAATTTTTTTTCAATAGTCTTCCAATGTTGAGTAAAAAATACAGATTCCATAAACTGTCACATGAAAATAGAATTGCAATTGATTAAAAGTGGATCATTGCTATAAGACCCGATGATATTTAGCTGGCAAATTTTGTACTGAGCTCTAGCATGGGTGGCGTCACCTGAGATGTGCTCATAATCAATAAGTTAGATGTGAGTTCATAAAAATGAAAAAATAATCAAATAATATGAGTGTAGTGGATTACACCTCAAGGGACGAAAGTACGGCATTCTTACCCGGGTGCGTAATTGCCTCTCGAAAGGTAAAAGTCAATGGCGTACTTTCGTCCCTTGAGAGTCAAAATATGACATTTTTCCCCGATATCAAGGGGAACAGCGCAACATAACCTACCAGGTAAAAATCGCATTCTCTGCCTACTAGAAAAGTGTTTTGGCGTAATTTGCGTAAAAATTGCCTCCCGAGCTGTAGGCTGCTTCACGCAGAAATTTTTAAATACTCTCCTAATAAGCAATACGTGTAATTCTTACTCGGAAGCTTATGTAGCACTTCCATCCATGAAATCACTGAAAAAAGTCGTATTTCTTCTCTTTGGTAAGTAGTATACAATTTTTTGTGATTTTCTCAAGAAAAGAAATAAATTAACTCGCAAAAAAAACAAGGATTTTTTAGTATAAAAATATACCTCAATCATTTTCTACTTTAACTTATTTATACAAATCAACAAAAGATATGTTTAAAAAATTATACAATATTCATGAAATATACACGATTACACGAATGATTTCATGATGCTTAAAAAATGTTTGCATATCTAAGCTTGTACAATATTTACTCTCATAAAAACATTTTTTCACAAAATTAATACTTTAAGAATTATGATATATACATACAGCACAAAGTACTTTTTCTTTATTATTAAAATCTTGTTTTTTAGTATTTTTTTATTACGTAGTTTCTATAACATGGATAATGGTAACATACTATTTGCAAATTTCACTTCTGCTACAATTTTCGAGGCTCACAACTTAGTTGTTTTGTTTTGTTTTTGTTTTAAGTCATATTATTTATCAAATTATCGTTTACTTTTCAGTCAAAGAGATAGATTAGAAGATTTGTTAAGAAATATTGCACCAGAACGTCTTAAAGTTGCAGAAGCTATGATATTTTGTATAGAACATGCTGAAGCTGCAGAAGAAATATGCGATTGCATATTAGAATCGCTGTCAATTTTACAAACACCTGCTAATAAAAAAATAGCTAGACTGTATTTAATATCTGACATTTTACATAACTGTGGTGTCAAACTTACAAATGCCACGATCTATCGAAAAGCGTTAGTATTTTCTCATACTTATCAACTAGACAAGATTTTTTAGATTGCACTTATACAATTATTATGTTACGCACAGATTTGAATCAAGGTTGTTGGAAATTTTCAACGAAGTTTACCAAGCATACAAACAATTTGATAGTCGATTAAAAGCTGAAGGTTTTAAAGTGAGAGTTACGAGAATGTTCAGAGCATGGGAGGATTGGGCGGTTTATCCCCGAGAGTTTTTAGTAAAGCTTCAAAATGCTTTTCTAGGTTTAAACCAGGTATGGATTTAAACAAATATTGTTAATTAAATACTTTATTACATTTGTGCTGAAGGTTGATGATTTGGTACGTTAAAAATCTAACAACATATCAAATTTAAAAAACTGTTCTAAATTTTGATTAAAAATGTGTACAATCCTAACCAACAATAAGTTTTTGTTGATAAAACCTCCATTAAAAATTAATTTTATCGGATCTTGGAATTTTTTTTCTCACCAACTAAACGCACAATTGATTTCATATTTACAAAAAGCTTATATTAGTACGTAATCTCTTTACAAAAAAATCTTCAAGAAAATCGAAAAAGTTGATTTTCAAGGCAATTGCCTTTGATAGTAAATCATATTTGAGTATTTGTTTTATTGTTAATTCTATTATTATTGTTATTACTATTATTTTTATTGTTATTACTATTGTTATTATTGTTATTACTATTGTTATTATTATTATTATTATTATTATTATTGTTATTATTAGTACTATTATTGTAGTTATCTTTATAATTACTATTTCGTTTATTGCTTGTTTTGAAAACTGATCGGAAAATTTTCCTCATTCTATACGAATTTTTTCGTAAAAAACCGAAAAAGCTAGTTCTCATTAAATTTTACCCTAAAAAAAACTCTTATCACAAATGCCTCTTTTATTGAAAACTATTTTAAGCTAAAACGTAATAAAATAATTTTGTATTTGATTCCTTAAACTTTCATATTTATTTATTATTCATTAAAAGTTCTTTATAATCAATTTCAGTCCGATGAACTTTCCTAAAACGACTTCAATTCACCTTGTAATATTTCTCTAGCCACGCTCATTTATGCTACAGCTGTCTTGAAGTAGCTTTTTAAATATGAAGAATGAATTTCACAAAAATTTCAGTTTAAATTTTACTTTTTCTGAAAGACGCGCCTTCCCATTAATATTATAATTTATATTTNAAGTTTTACGCATTTTTGTACCAACTACACAAATGAACTTCTCGTTTTATCACATTTTTTTTTGTATTTTCTTTGTTTCTTTTATAAATATGTAAAATATTTCCTTAGAAATAGACATTTCTACATTTTATTTTTTGAATTAATAACGTAACAATAAGTCAAACAAAAAAATTTCAAAAAATTTTGCAAAAACTTGCGTACGTTGAAGTAAAGTTACAAATAATACATATCAACTTATTACTTTATAGGAAAGTGAAGTTGATCAAGAAAATGAAGAAGACACAGATGGTGCTCCGTTGTCAGACGTCGATGGCGATGCTGTAGAGGATTTAGACGGTGTTCCTCTTGATGGTGCTGCACTGTTGAAAGGAGCTATGAAACATGGACTTACTTCACAAGCCTCTAATTATGATGATATCGATGGAGTGCCAAGTATGTCTGAATAAGCGAAGTATTTTATTCAGACAATTTTTTGAAAACTATATGCCTTAATACTTATTTTAAGAATTCTATGAAATTATATACATATATATATATAGATTTTACATAAATATTTTATCTCAATGTTAAAATTTTTAGTGGAAGATGACATTGATGGAGTTCCCATGGAAGATAATGATAGTGCAAGTTCCAAGGGCAACGAAGAGAAGAAACTTGCTATACCAGCTGGATTTATACCTTCGAGATGGGAAACAGTTGATCCTGATCAAGTTGAGGCTCAAGCAATGACTACAAGCAAGTGGGAGGAGCTTGAACATAACGAAGACTCCAATTCGCAAGATACAAGTATGGATTCAAGGTACAGTTTTATTTTGTTTTTAAACTGTTATCCTTATTACATTAAATTATATTTAAGCAGAGACTACAATGAAGAAAGACGAAATAAATTACGTGAGATTGAAGTAAAAGCAATGCAATATCAAGATGAATTGGAAAGTGGGAGAAGATCACTGAAACAAGGAATGACAATACAATCTCAAGTAGAACACTATCGTAAGAAGCTTATAAAAAAGGTTAGTAAAATATTAAAGAACTTATTTTTGGTAACCTAGCTCGTCCTTAGTTTTAAAAATTTTGTAAATTTTTCATTAGAGTGAGCGAGAGATAAAAGAAAATAAAAGTGAAGATAGAGATGATGACAGGCGAAAAGATAAAAAACGAAGTTCTTCACCAGACTCGCCTTACTACAGAAGTAGAAAAAGAAGCACTCCCAGTCCTCCATCTAAAGGAAGCAGTCGATATAGGTGAGTTTTGTACAAAATTGGTATATTATTGAAGCATATCACTGAATGTACTGTCAATTCTATAGTTGCAATTCATCATTAAAATTTATCTAAAAATTCTTGCTTTTAAACAATTTTGATACCATTGAAACTTTGCGTGCTCGACCGAAGCTTTAGTAATATTCTGAAAATCAATGTGCAGCAAGCCAGTGTCATGAATGCATGTAAATTATACTCTATTCTGGTCAAGAACTACTTATCGGTTCTAATATCTACTCAGAGTGTCTGAAAAGAGCTAGCGTTAAAAATAGAGTTTTACTCTCTTGATCGCAACTATAGTATTTTTGAACTGTTTATACTTACTATTAACGTTTCATACAATTTAGTCAATGACTTAACTATTACCTTCAGCCTTCGTCTTGTTTATTTGTGTCGCACCTAGCTGTTACTTCTAGATTCCTTAATGTTGGGAGGTTCAGGCTAGACTTTAATGCATCTTATCCCTACCTCTACCACATGACCCCTTTTTTGTTTCAATTGTTCGCTTAAGTATTTAAAACTTTTGTGCGAGCCACTAGTATTAATTTTCCCTCAGCAGATTTGGCCATCTATTAAGCTGATAGTAATTTTACTGGCAGTCTGGCCAGGTATTGGCTTGACTTGGACAAAAAGCCTTTAAAGGTGCAGACATCATTCTTAAAAATTTACGGATTATCTTATTAATTGGATAAGTGGTTTATCGTGGGTACTCATCCTATCGACAAAGTCACGAAACAGTTTCAATTATTTTGTACTAGGTAAACTATACCAGTTCTAGCAACTTTCTAGCTCTCCCTGGGGCAGAGTTGGGGGACAGGGCTACTCAAGCTTGTGTGTCAGGGCCGTTTTTTTAACTTCTTAATGCTGATAGCTGTAATGTTGGATGGTATCGTGCTTTATAAGTTTATCTCCCTTCCTTTCCAGCTGCAAATCGAGCTCTGATATCACAATGGCCCCAGATTTGCGGTGTAGTCTACTCAAGCTGACAAACTCAACTATGGTAAGAGGAAGATTATCAAGCATGAGCGAGAATTTCTTATCGGTAGATGTTATTCCTTCCTCTGATTATTTAGTCGTCTCGTGTGCCAAAGTAATATTTTTTTTCTTTCCGAGAGCTAGTGTATCAAGTTATTTAAGAAAAAATTTTTGCCACTAGCATTATTCAAAAAACTGAAAGAAATAACGTTTCGTCGAAAAGAAATTGTTTAGTAAATTATATGATGCACGTATAAGTAGTAAAGATAATACTCATGCTCAAACAGTATAGAAAACTTCTGATGTTAAAACTCTTAGACAGTATGCATATCTTTACCTTAAAAGTAATGTTCTTCTGTTAACAGAAGTATTTGAAAACCTGTGAGATAATAGTAGGTTTATACATTAGATCCCGCTAACTATTTTATCCCTCTAAGTTTTATTTAAAATTCTGTTTTACAAAAAACGAAAGTAATTTTTATGTATCAGAACATAATGTCGATTTTGCATCAGGAATTTATCGAGAATTTATTAAAGATTTCACTATAACTCATGACAAATATAGATCACCAGCGGCCCCCGTCAGCTTCGCCCGAGACTAACTAAATGGAACACCGTATTGTGTTGACATGTTATGTGAAACGTTTTCAGTTAAAAATTTTGCATATATTTCTGATACTTCTCAGTAAAAAAATTTTCTTATTTAAAACGTATTTGTTCAGAATCCATACCGTTTATTTGGTCGAGTAAAAAGCTGTAAAACGTGAAAAAATAAAATTATGCTAAAAAGTACCGTGCATTCCTTATGCTATAAAATAATCGTTAGCCTTAAAAGGCCGTTGATTTGCAGTTTCTCCCGTATAATCTATGTACAGGGCTATTTGTTAAAGCTGTACATATTTAAAACTCACAAAAAATATATATAATTTAAAAAATTTTTTCTCTTATCTTACAACTTTATTACCACAGCAACAAAGTCCTGGAGCTTAATCTCTACATTTTTTATCGTCACAAAAATACGAATACGTATTCTACCTATTTTAAAATCTGGAAGTTTCAAGATATTGCTATGAGGGTTATGGTAAAAAGCTGATCTCTCACTTAATAAATTCTGTGTTTATCGATTTTGATGTTGCTTTTGTGAGCCCCAAATACTGTTTTTTGTAAACTTTGGTATGTTCTGATAGGTTTTTTGGCAAGGTAGTTCGACGTCCAATGGCCCTAAAAAGGACCGGTGAACTTCTTAAGTAAACTCTTTCTTGACCGACGTTTCCAGCAAACGTGACTGCCTGGATACCTCAGGGTGATCTTCTCTGGTTTGTTATCGTAGCACCACACTGATCAGAAGGAAAACTACAACGTTTATAGTTTTGGAGCTAGTTTAAGAGCTCTTTCCCAACGTCTCCTGGTATAACGTCGAAGACGTTGGTGTCTAAAGCACCTTTTTTTGTGGACTCAGTTGTTTTAGTGATCTAAGGTAGACATATTAGTTCACGATGCTTGCCTGTTAAAGACTGCCCCGTTAGCTCAAGTTTATTTTTGATTCATAGATATTAGGTTCTGTCAGCGCAGACCTTGAAGAAGATTAGTGATTCCTGGTTGAATGCTTCCAGTCGAGAGGGTTGAATAGCATCGTCAGTCACCAGGGTTTCCAACCTTGCAACGAACAACTCCGCTCGTGACGTCTGCCAGTGAATGACTGACTTGGTTTAATAACGGCCGGTTTTACATAGTCTTTTAGTTGACGAATCATTTCCAAAAATGGTAGTAAAAATGTGTTTCTTGGAAGGTAGTTCAAATTTAGGTGGCCCTTAAAAGAACCGATGAGATTGATGGTTAAGTAGGGATCGTAAATACTTATAATGGCCCTGGTAAGGTCCAGTGGTGAAATTTCCAGTTATTCCTTATTATTATTTTTGATGATGGAGAGCCAGTTGCGGGTAGCTTGACTCTTATTCTTGGAGTCTCTGTGTGCGGAAACTGTACCGGAGGGAGTTACGCCGCTGACCAAAGAATATCTTGTCTTCAGGTCTTTCCCCGGAAAATCAACCGCTCATCGTTACTCAGGAAAGTGGGCCTGGAGAATAACTTTTTTGTAGAAATGCCTTTAGAACGACCACTAAGAAGAATGCCGTTGTGGCTGCCCGTACTCTTCATGGTTGTCTTCCCTGGCTTGCTTTTGAATTAAAAAATTCTCTGACGGCACCAGGCTGGATGGTTGAACGGCCACGAAGCTCTGAAGTTTCGGAGCAGGTTGTGCTCTACCTAGACACGTCTCCTTGTATTCCACCGGAGACGTTGACATTCCGAACGCCTATTGTTCCGTGGCACTCGGTTAATTTGATGATCTGGAGTAAAAACCGATTTACTTCGCTTGCTAATGGAAGAAAAGTGTCATTGGTAGCCAGGATGCCCAGTTACACGACTAATAACTCAGTTCTTGGTGTAATGCAGACGAATGACCACGGTAATCGTAAATTCGATGAGACATCTAATAACCATTGTTCACTGTCTTTAATTTCGTGTGGCTTTAATTTTACTTTGACGCCACCTAGCGGATCCTAGTGAACTAAAGCCCAAAGCTAGCTTATTGTAGCAAAACTTTGAGCTCATTTAAGGCCATTGTTTTTAAATTTTTCAAGAAAAATAACTGTGCGAAAACCATTTCGAAATCATCAAGAATCAGTATGCAAAATTTCAGCAAAATCGGTTCAGTAGTTTTCGCGATTAGTGTTTACAACGGTTTTAGCGACTTTGCTTTATATATTGGTAAGATTTCTGCTATACGCATAACATATGTATATCTTCATATATTCCATAGTTATTTCAAGTGGATTCAACCTTTAACTCCCTCCATCTCCTCCATTCCTCACCCATCTACTTCAAAATTTCTTGGTTATTCATTTGTTCTCTTGCTGTTTTGTCTATTTATTACATCTCCCTCCATGCTCCATGCATTTTCCACGCATGCCCCTCCAATCTCCCTCCGTCCCCACTTTTCTTCTAAACAACCTTAACAGTTTAGAAAGTGATTGCGTTTTGTTGCGTAGTTGTTTTGATTGCGCTAATTAATTTAAGCGTTGTACAAGAGACTTCGATTTATTTTTAAGAAGTCTGAAACTTGTATGATATTAAAATTTTTTATAANATTTTTCCTTCCGAGGGTGCTGTATTTACTCAAAAAAAAAGAAAATTAACCCATAAGTGAATAATTTTAAAATTTTTATTCAACAAAAGTGTTTTAGATATCAAAAAAATCAAACTTCTTTAACCATACATCGTTCTCACCCGTGCATATTTTAGGAGAAAGCGTAAAAAACTAAAATATGCAACAGAAAAAATGTTAAAAGCTACATAGTGGAACAACATGTTGTCACATGCAGTCTCACACAGAACACCTATAAGAATTAGCATTGAGCTGTGTATCATTTCTTGACATCGTCAATATTTAAGTTAGTAAACAGATAGTTTTAATAAGTTTTTTTTCTAATGTATGTTTTCTTGATGACCTATATGTGATCAAAAGTTTGTAAAAACAACAAATGCCGTTTTAAACAGAATATAATATGTAGGATTTTTAATGACAATTCCTATCTCTTATATAATAAGAACTGTTATTTCTTTATTACAAAAAAACTAAATGCACAAAAAATCTCAAAAATTCAAATATGTTTCTGACATCCTACGGACAAATACATGTAACATTCACAACTTGTTTTCTTTGCAAAATAATTACCTTTTCCAAGAAAAAAAAACCAGGTGTGGATCTCCGGACCATCGCCAGAAGTGAAGCTTCCAACTCAAATGTTGTTAAACTCGGTATAATACAAACTAAGAAAATTAGAGTATACCTAATTTCAATAGATTTTTGAGAATCCCATATTAAAATAGTGAAAGATTTAATATTATTACATATTTGAGCTTGCACGTGCATAGAAAACATATACTTTAATATATTACTTATATTATAATTCGCGAATTCTAAGTACCTCCATGTATAGATTGTTGGTCATGTAATGCAGAATAAAACAAAAATTTTCACTATAGTGCTCCAAAAAAAAGACCTTTTGTCCCATTACGGGGGACAAAAATACCTTTAA